CTTATCAGCTGAATGATACTTTTTTCTTTTCTGAATTTATTAATTCAGAATCCAAGAAATGCAGCTGGCTGGCTGTGCTAGTGGCCATCACTGTATTGCAGTGTTTCTCTCTGACTCCTGGGAAGATGTTTTATTATCAGCAGCAAAGGCAAGGAAGAGATTCTTGCAGAATTCTGGCCAGCACCTCTCCTGATTAGGGTACAGGCTTAATTAACAGGGTGTGATATAGAATCTGCAGCAATTGCCAGTTTTGTCTGAGGCAGGTCTGTACTATACTGTTATGTCAGAAACACTTGGAAATTTATGAAGTATTTAATATAACCTAAAAATCATAGTTATTCTCTCCCCTACCCTCCTTTCCTTTGTTCTCTTCAACTCTCTGTGTATTCCTGATTGTCAAGCAAGGCCACAAAGGAAAATCTCAATTGTTTAGTGATAAGTGGCCTTGTCAAAAGATTAGTTTCAGTGTGGCCATATAATGCAATTCTGGAAAAGATATTTTGGAAGATGAAAACTGAGAGTTTCGGGAAAAGTTTGCTTCTACCTTCTAAAGAATTACAGATTTTGTTTTTAAAACATCAGGGTAGACTTGCAGCAACTATGTTAGGGTCACCAGAGCAACCAGCTCAGAGCACAGGCCAGGCATCACACTGGTTGATGGCAAAGCAGGAAGTGGAAAATGCTGTTGGTCTTGATGATACTGAGCCATTACAGGCACCAACTCTGGATGTACCTGATATGGACAGTGTGCTGCTGAGTAGTATCTCAGAGGCAGAGCAGAAAGCTTGTACAGATCAAATTCAAGTCCTTAAACTGCAAATTGCAAAATCAATATAGGCATATGGTGAGAAGCATGAGAGTAGGGTGTTAGCATATTTAGAAATGGAAATTGAGGAGAGGGACCCCACCATCTATTTGGGGGCATATAGATACTATTTCTCTGCTATATCTACCTTCCCCACTGATAGTGTGGTTATAAGGTCCAAAACTGAAGTTGGGAAGGTCTACTGATGGCTGGCATCCTGAACTAATGATACCTGCTTGCTGTGTCTAAGAGACACAGGACAAGTGGTTAGTAGATATAGCTCAGACATTTAGCTACACTGAGTTCTATCTGTGATTCTTGGACAGATAATACTTGGGACAGGAATGAGTATCAGCATTTGTTCTTAACCAGGGTGGTTTTGCTCCTTGCATACATTTAACAATGTCTAGAGACATTTTTAATCGCCGTATCTCTTGTCTGTCAGAGACATACTGGCTTCTACTGGGTAGAAACTACTTCTATGCAAAAGATAGCATCTAGGGACTGGAGAGATGGTTCAGTGGTTAAGAGTGCTTGTTATGCATCCATAGGACCAGAGTTCTGTTCCCAGGACCCATGCTGGGTTGGCTCACGACCACATGTAACTCCAAGGGATCTGATGCCATCTTCTGACTCCATGGATTCCCACACACATAGTCTTCACACACACACACACACACACACACACACACACACAGATATACACAAATAAAAAAATAGTAAAAAAAAAAGTCTTAAAAAAAATAGCCTCTAAAGACAACTGTCTAGCCCAAAATGTCAACAAGGTTCAAGGTGAGAAATTTAATAATTTAAATTGTTCAATTGAAACACTCTAGATGCTCCTGGGAAGGGAGTCTCAGTGTGGGATTGTCTAAATCAGGTTGGCCTGTGGGTATGTCTGGGGTAGAGTGGTAGATTATTTTGATTTTAGGTTAATTATCTTAGGTTAATTGAAGTGGGAAGACTCACCCACTAAGGGAGGTGCCATTTCCTAGGCAAGAGATCCCAAACTGTGTAAGAGTAGAGAAAGAGAGCCAGGTGCAGACATGCATCAATTCATTCCTCCTGCTTCTTGATGGGATGAAATGAGAGCAGTTGTCTCAAGCTCCTGCGGCTTTGACATCCTTGCAGGAATTGCCTAGTAAGTAACCTGGAACTGTGAACTAAAGTAAACCCTTTCTCCTCAAAGTTGTTTTTGTTAGGGTTCTTTATCCCAGCAATAGAAGTGAAATTAAGATACCCTGGGTAGTACTAGTGGGTGGTCTATTTAATACCTCATGAATGTTGTTTTTGTCTATTTAGTATTTAATGTTTATATTAAACACGTGATGGACATTATTACTTAAATATCTAGATAATATTATCTATTGATCATGCTTCTCTTTTTTATCTGTGGCTAACATATATATGATCTTGCTTAGGAAGTAAGAACATTTTGTGAATTCTTTACATATAACAATATTTGCTTACTACCTACTCTATTCTTATTCACAAACACACACACACACACACACACACACACACACACACACACCTTTTGATGGCGCCTCAAAATTTAAAATAGATTTATCATATATGTGATCCAACAGTTCCACACATGGATACATGCTTAAAATAATTGAAAGTAAGGTTCTTAAAGAGGTATTTGTACATCCATGTTCATAGCAGCGTTCTCTGTAATAGTAGGAATGTGGAAGCAATTCATGTACTCACTAAAGGAATCACAAAGATCCACCTGCCTCTGCCTCTAAGTGCTGGGATTAAAGGCGTGTGCCACCACGCCTGGCCTAGAATTCACTTATATTTTTTAAGCTTCAAGTTTATTCATCTAACAGAGCTGACTATTTACTGCAAATTCACATTATAATTGCCATGGAATTTCTAATAAGATGATGATAAATGTTTTGATAGTTTGGCCACTTTTTAGTTGTGTTTTCTGCAACATGGAGCATAATGCATCCTAACTGGCTCCCACATAAAGTCAATCAAAACATGTATTCCAGGAGGTGTGGAGATGGCTCAGTGGGTAAGAGCACTTGCTCTGCAAGCATGAGGACCCTAGATTAAAAATCCCTAGTACTCAGGTAAGAAGCCAGGCAAGCCAGACATGGTATGCCTGTGAGAGACAGAGGATTAGCAGGTCCCCAGGAGCCACTGGCCAGCTAACCTGACCAAAATGGCAGGCTTCAGTGAGAGATCCTTTCACAAGGAAATAAGGCAGAGAGCAATAGAGAAAAACAACTGAAGTTCTCTTTTAGTTTCTGTGCACATGCATTTGGCTATATACACTTGCATACTCACATGCTTATACTGTACATGCGTACGCACACACCATACACACGGGGAGAGGGAGGGAATATATTCAAAGACAAATGAAGTGTGGACTTAGGCTATAATTAGTTTCCTAAGTGGTAATGTAATCATCAGATTCTGTAGCATTATGGGGCTTACACTACTGTGATAATGCTTGTTTGCTCATTCTATTTATGTTTCAAGCAACTGTAGTCATGGTGCTTATCATGATGGGCCTATGTGCCTAGAAGTTTATTTTGTTATGATTTGTACAGCTTTGGCTTGGTTGTCTATAAAATATTTTTAAAAGATTTTTTTTTAAAGTTGACTCAACTTTTATAAATAGAGTGGCATTATAAATTTATAGTTTCATGTATTCTTTTTACTTATGATAATTTTATTTATATTTTAGTGCTTTAAAAATTAAAGACTTTTGGGAGCTGGGGAGATGGCTTAGTGGGGAAAACATTTACTGCACAAACATGAACTTGCCTGGAACCCCAGCACTGGGGTAGAGCGACAGGTAGATCATAGGGGCTTGTTGGCTAGCCAGTCTTGCTGAAAGGGTGAACTCCAGGTTCGGGGAGATCCTGTCTCAAAAGATAAGGTACAGAGTGATAAAGGTAAAACACCTGATGTCAACCTCAGGCCTCCATATGGGCATGTATCGGGAATGCACCACCATGTATACATGTGCACACACACACACACACACACACACACACAAAGACTTTATGAAAGTTGTGTCTTGAGACATCACACTGAAAAAAAGGAGATCTTTTCACATACATGGAGTTAAAAGAGGCATATCTAATAATATGTGAAGATTTAAAATCATACATGGAGGTTGTTTAGAAGACACTTTAAGAAAAAATGGTGGTGTATTACTTTTCATTTCTTTTTTGTTGTTTTGTTTTGTTTTGTTTTGGGGCGGGTCTCCCTGTAGCCATAACTTGTTTGAAACTTGCTATGTAGACCAGGCTGACCTCAAATTCATAGAGATCCACCTACTTCTGCCTCCCGAGTACTGGGATTTTAAAGGTGTGAGCCACCAAATCCAGCTCATTGTGTGTGTGTGTGTGTGTGTGTGTGTGTGTGTGTGTGTGTGTGTGTATGTGTGTGCTTGTGTGTCATGGCATGCATGTGTAAGTCAGAGGACAACTTTCAAGAATCAGTTTTCTTCCACCTTTTGGGTCCTGGAGACTGAACTTAGGTTGTCAGGCTTGGCACAAGTGCCCTTGCCTGCTGATCCATCTTACCAGTCTCCTTTCCATTTCTTGTCATTTTCTTTGCTCTCTCTATTTCTGGTTGTGATAGAAACTAATATTTAATAAGAAAAATAAAATACAGGACACATAAAGAAATGGGAAGATATGGTAGTAAATTAATGAAACTGATAAAAAAGCTAAAGTAAAAAATTGAATGAAGTATCTTTAAAAATTAATGGTGTTGCTAATATAAGTTTCCTAGACCCAATGGCTGGCTCAGGGGACTCAGCTCAGCTAAACAGTGGGACAACAGGTGGTGGAGGCAGTTCAGTCTTTCTCATAAAAGCTAGGCTGGCTAGTATTCTCTCTTTCCCTTTCTCTCTTCCCCACTCCTTCCCTCCTTTACTCTCTCTCTCTTTCCTTCCTTCTCCCTCCTTCCTTTTCTCTCTACCCTTCTCATAAAAAGGTTGGTTTTAAAATCTGAGTCACAGGATTGTTAAAGTAGATATGTGTGAACTTAAGCCAAGTTTTCAAATGTGTTTTCAGGGTCATGAAATGAATTTCAGGGCCATGGTCATCTCTGTATCACTAGAGATGAAATCAGGGGCCTGGAGCATGCTGGGCTACCCTTCTGTCACCGAGCCTTCTCCAGCCACAGGATCCTCTTTAATTGTCTTTTATTTTTACTGTTGCAGTGAATTGCTATCCTCGGATTACATAGAGAGACACATTGAACATGGAGGCAAGACTGTGGAAATTAGAGTAAGTAAATTTTTCATTCCTTTGTAGGAACTGTTCATGGACTCTTTAAACTGCTATTGAGGACCAAACCCAGGGCTTTGTTCATGCTAGACAAGCACACCACCAGCTGAGCTACACTCCTAGTCTCAAGGAAGTAGAATTAGAATGAAAATTAGACTGATTTAAAGAAAGCTAGAAGTCAGTGCATTAAAGGGCTCTGGTCAAGTAAGATAGAACTTGTAAAAAATCAAGTATACTGCTTTTGGATATGGGAAGACTACATTAGTAGGAAAAAATGTATTTGCTGCTTTTTTGACTCTTTTAAATGATAATCTTAATTTAAAAATATTTAAAATTATAAAATATAATACCAAGACAAAGGTGCACTTAAAGAAGTGTATGGGTTGGTGAGTGACTAAAAGGGGCTGTCTAATAACTTCCACCCATTTCAAGCCATAGAGCTCAATCAATGAATCCACAGACTGCTTTGTGTACTCAAACCCTGTCTCCTCCTCCTGAGACCCTTGTAGACAGCATTGTGACATGTACAGTTATTCTTTTTAGTACTTTGTTTGGAGTTTTAGCACCAAAGTGGTATCTCTGTGATTTAGTTTGTCTATTTGTGTTTTCAAAATAAGTCTAAAAATTTATCTATTTTTTCCCTCCTTGTATTTTATTTGTTGAAGAATTGAGATTATTTATCTTATGTATTTTCTCATTGCCTAGATTTTAATATTGATTACAATTTTATATTTAGAGGAAAGTGAAATACCTATTAGTGATTATTCTTTAATATAAGAGTTTATATCGCCTCTAGGACCTTTTGTGCCTCATTGATACAGTTTTATCCTGATCTGACTGGTATGCACAACCCTGATTTTAAAGTTCTCTTATAATATTTGTATGCCTTTCTCTTCCAAGGTTTTAAAAAATCTTTATGTGCAAAAAATATTTTCTTTATTCTTTTAATAAGACATATTAATTTAATCTTTAACTTTTCAATTTGTTTTTATTGAATTTTTGTGTATTTTATACAGAATATCTCAAACAATCTTAATCATCTTTATATTACTCACTAATATCATTAATTCTGATAGTATTTTTACCAATGAATGTCTATTTTTATTAGCTCAAATTATTTCTAAATATGAACATTCCAATTTATCTTTGGATTAGAGTCCTAAACCTTAAGGCTCGGTGTGGAGAGAGACACCCATTATGTAGTATTGACTTTGGGCTGACAGTTAACTATTATTCATTGAACTGGGTGCATTTGATTCTCCTCAAGAATCAAGGCTTTGAAGTCTTAATTATGTTGCCAGTGGCAATAGAAAGATGGATAAGAATGCAAAGTAATGTGGGTCAAGGTTGAAGTCTGGAATGGGTAAAGGGATTGGAGCAAGTGCTGTGTGATGGGGAGTGGGTGTCATGAGAGAGTACTTAATGGAAAGAGAGGTTATTTTGAAACTAGGGGAACCTTTTACTCTGATGAAATGTATTGTAATTTACATTTAAAATATTTTAAGGCAAACTCAAATTGTCCCTGTCATTTCTGGAAACAGGATAATAGGAAAGTTGATATAGAAGCAAAGAGAAAGACTGGCCTTTTCTACATCCATTTTTCTAACACGGGGTTAGAGTACTACAAGAGATTTCCTTTTCTGTTTTATTTGTGTGTGTGTATGTGTGTGTGTCTGTGTGTGTGTGTGTGTGTGTGTGTGTGTGCCTGCACCACAGCATACGTATGGAAGTCAGAGAACAACTTGCAGGAGTTGGTTTTCTCCTTCTACCACGTGGGCCCCAGGGATCGAACTCAGGTTGTCAAGCTTGGCAGCAAGTACCTTTACCTGCAGAGCCATCTTACCAGTCCACAATGAAAGGTTTGTACATTAGCACAGTACCATCTTCTTTCAGGCACCTGTGCTGGTAACAGAGTCTCTCAGTTCCTTTGTGCTCATTTTCCTAAGTCAGATTTACAACTCATTTCTCCCTTTCTAAAGCAGGGATACTTCCCCCTAACAATCTTACTTTAATCTTTTTTTTTTTTTTTTTTTTTTTTTTTTTTTCCGGGTCTCCCTGTAGCTCCAGCTGGCCTGGATTCACTATGGAGACAAGGCTGGCCTTGAACTCACAGAAATCTGCCTGCCTCTGCCTCCCGAGTATTCTTAGAATTTTCAATTTTAATCTTTTCCCAGCCTTTTCCCACTTTTGGCATCATCAACTGCCAATAGCACCTCAGCTAGGGGTAGGACTTCATGCCTGCCTCCTCCCTTCATGCTAAGATTTTTGTATGGCTTGAATTTGTTTTTTAATTTTTTTTTTTTTTTTTTTTTTTTTTTTTTTCCCACAGTGAATATGTCAGTGACAAGAACAAAAGATACTATAAGGACAGCCGTATGAAATCACTTAGAAAAAGTTAAATGTGGTGACTATTAGGGTAGCAGATGTTTCCCTAACTTTGTAGTTCCCATGAGCCTAAACAGCACCAATAGAAAATTGCTTGTGATCTCTAATTGTATATATGGTTTCTCTTGTTTCCTTTTCCAGATTTCTCTACTAGAGCATAATTCCCAACCTTCAAATAATTCAAAAGTTTCCAGTGTGCCAAAGGACTATTGTTTTTGATGTGTGTTTTGTTTGTAAAAAAAAATAATTTTACAAAAAATTTCATCATGTGATACAATATTGTCTCAATTTTTTTTTTTTTGATTTTTTTGAGACAGGGTCTCTCTGTAGCCCCAGCTGTCCTGGATTCACCACGGAGACCAGGCTGGCCTTGAACTCACAGAGATCCTGCCTGCCTCTGCTGGGATTAAAGGTGTGCGCCACCACACCCGGCTTGTTGTCTCATTTTTAAAGTAAAAAAATGATCAATTTTGTTTTTCTTTTTTTCTTTTGTTTTATGGACAAGGTCTTTGTGTAGCCCCAACTGATCTGGAACTTACTATACAGACCAAGCTGACCTCAATCTCATAGAGCTCCACCTGCCTCTGCCTTTTGAGTGCTGGGACTAAAGACATGTACCATTGTGCTTGGCGGGGGGATAAATGATCAATTTTTATTAGTGGTAAAATTTAGATAATCTAAAATGTCATTGTTTAGTGATTGTATTCTGCTATTTCTACATTAAAATGATAGGTTCTTTACTTAATATAGCCTTTCATAAGATAAATTTTTCTAAAATTCCATTGCGTGTAACTGAATGCTACAAAAATACTTAAAATGTTTTGTTTTTTGGCCCCAGGAGGTACAGACTTATGCATTAAAGTGTCTTAAAAATGTATTTATTACAGCAGAAAAGATGACATAGGTTAACCTGCTTTTGTTTATCTTGGATATTGATTTTCCTCACTGATTGTCAAAATTGCTTTACCAAACAAAATCTTGATTCCCGCTATAAAATAGGAAGAGTAAGTGACTAAGTAGGAAAGAAAATCTTGGCTTTGATGTCCAATAAATTTGGCTGAGTGTCTTTGAGCAGAATCATCCTTACCATTGTATCCATGATAAATCTGAAGTTGATACCTATCTTTTTCTCAAGTAGCATTTTGGAGAATCTGTCATTTGGAGGCTGCCTTTGAGATGAAAAGCAACCAACAGCTGCTGTTGCCGAGTATTCTATATCAAGTTCTGCTCTCCCTCCCTTTCCTCTCCTCCCATCTTTCCCCTTCTGCATCCCATCCCTCCCTTCCCCTCTCTTCTCCTTCCCTCCTCTTCTCCCCTCTCATCCTCTTTCTCCCAGATTTCAATACACTCAGGCTGGTCTTGAACTCACAATTTTCTGCACAGTGGTGGAATGATAGGAGGCACCACCATGCCTGCCCTACTAAACCTTTTTCTATTCATTTTCTCCATTTTTTTTTAGAACAACTTAGCAGTAGCATTCCTTTTCCAAGTTACCTTTCTCACCTACAGCTTTACTCTGCATGTGAGATATGAGCTTTTTTTGTCTAGGATTCATACTGCAGTAACTTCTCCAAAGATTCTGAGATAGGCTCTTGGATAATACCTAGTTATCTCAGTGGTTATTGAGTCATGTGAGCTGGAAAGATGATTTTAGAAAGGATCAAAAAATGCGTCTATTTATAGAAGTTGTTATTTCAGCTTAAATTTAAATCCTGGAATGTGTGGAGATAGGGCCACCATCCAAGTAAAAGAACTACAGAGATGTGCATTTTAAGGCTGGCTGAAGAGCAATATCAACTAAAGAACTAAAGTCTGTAGAGTTGTCTACCACTGGGCTACAGCCCAGCCCTGGGAGCATAAATTCTTCACACACCGTGTGCACACAAAGTATATAAAATGATCACAAATAATTAGTGAAGCATGGGAGGAGTGTTTGACAAGAGCAGTTTCCATGTGTTACAATCTGCAGGTACGTTTTTCTTTTTACACTCTCTGGGAGATTTGGGTTAAGGACTTGCACCACTAAGCTTGAATTCTGAGGGCAGAAGCTTTATTGCAGGATGGAAGGAGTGTTCAGGTGCAAGTTCAGGTGCAGTGATGCAGGTTCCCCACCTAAGGTGTGCTTGCCAGAATAGAACAATTTCAGATTATATCACTATAGGCATGGTGTGGTTTTTGCACTAATGAAAACTAAGTTTAATGCAAAGAGATAAATTTTAGAATAGGATTACTTGGAAAAATTTTCTTCCTAAGTCCACTCGGGGGAAGTTTAACCATGACTTAATATCATTTAACAAGAATGATTTAAATATTTATATATTTGTTAGTATACCTTAATCAGAGGTGAATATTTAGTTGGTAGCTGTAGCTAGACTAGCTCTGAATTCTATTTTTATTATTTTATTTTATTTTAAAGACAGAGTCTTGCTGTGTAGCCCAGGCTCTCCTTGAGCACTCTTTTCTCCTGCCTCTGCTTCCATTCTGGAGCTGTAGACATGCCCCAACATACCCCAGGCATAATAAATTCTACTATACTTTAGTCATTATTATCTAACTGCTGGTATTTTAATTTAATGTGATATTAAATAGAGAATGCCATACAATGTATTTTGATC